CCCCTTTTCCAAATTTTAATATCAACTCAAAATAATTTAAAAAGACAAATTACAATAAAACGGTTTATTATCCAACTATCAGAAATTTCACAACATGCCAAGGAAGAGAGGAAGGAGAATTAAATAATCAAAATTATAAAGTATATAAAAATTGGGAATATTGCACTTCTAACAATCTCTGTGAGTATGTGGGCTAAATTTAAAGAATCCGTGCTTCTTGCATGTACAACTGTATGTGGCCAGCTCATGCGCCGGAAAACCTTCTGATTTATTCGTGTACGCACCAGACGGAAAAACAAAAAATATAGTGTATCCACAAGCACTCCAATAAATAAATAGAATTGAAACGACACTTTGAAATGTTTTCCCGATAAAAAAAATAATAATAAGTTTCAATAAAAATGATAAAATGTAAATTTAATTTTATCATAACGAGTTTGCTTGAATTTCGTTTCTTCTGAGATCACAGCAATGCACGACGGGTAAGCTAGTAATCAATAAAGCCTGTATAATCTACCTTTTGTGGTGTTTTTGTGTGAATAGTTATCCTAAATAATCTTAAGCTTACTTCTGACAGGAATCTTGGTTTAAATATTAAATGTGAGAAAAAAATAATAATAATAAATAGTGTTTTTGAATTCTTTAATCTTTTTAATTGTATTTATAAATACAATTAAGTTGTTTTACATACCAGATTCATTTTAACTAATTGACTTGTATTTCTCCACAGTCTTGCAAATTTCTCCACAGTAGAGTTTTGAAAGATTCCTTTTTAGTGGTATATAAGTCATGTGAAAATAGTTTCATGAATAGATATTTTAATGGAGATATTTCTTATACAAAGTTTAGATTTACCAGAAAATCTTTTCTTATTACTGATATTAAATGAATTAATAAAATGTTCTTTATATAAATTTTTTTATATATCAATAAAAATAATGAATTATTTATATCAGGTCCAATGTATGTCACATAACATACCCAAGATATGCTATGATGGGAAAACTAACCCTTGAATGATTAGTATTATACTAAAATAGAGATATAAAGTTTGCATAAAATTACGGTTTTACTTCATGAATGCAATTGATACCAAATTATCATACTGGTAGGACAAATTATGGGTAGATAATAAACTTAAACCCTATATGGTCTTTTGAAATTAAAAACATTTTCATGTAAAACTGTTTTAAACAATTAAAATTACTGTTATTTAATTTCAGTAGGAGATGAAAGTACGTTTTATCATTTAAATACACTAGAAACACTATCAGTTCAGTTCCTACATTATGTATGAAAGCTGCAAGTAATAAACTGTACTAATGATCTTCAGTTGGTTTATTTTCCAGCTTTCTTTCCCACTCCTCAGTTTTTCTGAAGGTCTACAGAGTATTGAGAAGTCTAGCTCCAAAAAGCCTTCCTTGCTATGGGTCTGACAAACAAATGCAAATGCAATACTACCTGAAGGCTGGATTATTAGATCCTATTAGATACCTGGAGCTGATGGATCAAACTGAACATCATTTAGCCAAAAACGTTGTTTACTGTAACTCTGTTACATAACAGAAACATCTTTGCACTTCAAAATTTTATTTGGCCTTTTATTGTAAAAAAGGAAAACTATGCCAAACACAAAACATTTTATAATGCAGTCTTGGAATGGGACAATAAACTAGCAAACAAGGATTGTGTTGTGGGATTTATTCATTTGAAGGTCCAGATTGTTTCCAGTAGGTAGTGCTGTGGCACTGCAATATTTAGCTATGTCTTGGGTTACTCCGATATTATTTTTTTGGTGTGCGTGTTTTAGCTGGCAGTACTGGTACAACCATGAGAGGGTACCTAAGGACATGCCAGTATTTGAATGAGGCTTTTTTTCCATCATGAGTGGTGAGCTTTGCTTGTTTTGTGTGGTGTTTTTCTGAGGACTGTGTGTCAGCTGTGTGTCGTACTGAATCAATGTTTTTGATACTAGATTAACTTCCGAAATATTTTATTTGTTTTTATATTTTTCACTATATTTATTTTGTTTGTACAAAATAAAGAAATAATTTTTAATAATACAATAGCCACAATTATTATCTTAAAAAATTTTCATTAGGCTTAACATCGATGAAAATTCAATGCTAACAATATGCAATTGAGAAAAATTTCAACATAGGATAGGTTAATATATTTTTTTGTACATGATCAGTTATCTGAACAACCCCAGACCGGAATTGTTTTGGATAATTGATGCTCTACTGCCACCATACTCAACCTGTGGCCCGCTGAGCTTTTGTGAGTGGCCTGAACGTGAAAGAGAGCAGAAAATAATTACATTGACTTCTGGAATTAATTAACACTTCTGGAAAGTAGTGCCCGATCAATATAAGACTGTAAAAAATGTGCTCAAATTTTACTTACATTGTTCGCATCAACGTATCTATGTGAAACATCATGCTCGAAAATGAAATATGCAAAGAACATATATAGAAACTGGTTTACTGATTCACACCTGGATGCCATTTTACTAGTAGCATGCAGCAGCTACAAACCTGATTTAAATGAATTGACAGCCAAGCGGTCAAGGTGGCAGCCTACTGCTCTGGATCGAATCCGGTCGGGTCAGAGAATCCCCCAGGAATTTTTCGGGGAGTGGTCTGTTCGGATATGTTGGGCCCCGTCCCTCACCACTCGGTCGCACCATTGTGTGTCTGGCCGAACCCAGGCCCACAATGGTGCCTGCTATAAGGGACCTGCTATAATGGTGCCTGCTATGGGCCTGTTATAAGAGGCCCTCTTAGTGACCATAGGGCGAAAAGAGTATTAAAAAAATTTTTTTTATGAAATTGTGAAAAAATGTTCGCAATATCAACAGTTACACTAAATTTCTAGGGTAAGTGAGAAATTAAGTAAGTTTTTTATTATAATTGTTATGTTGCAGCCCGCATGTAATAGCTATCATGTGTATGTGGCTTGAGAGAAAAAAAGGTTGAGTATGGTGGCTCTACTGTAATACTCGTACACTATGATATAAAAAGATATGAAACACAAAAAAACATTTATGTTTTAAAGATATAAAAAAACAATCATTATAATTTATATTGTCTTTTTAAACATAAAAAAGAAAAATAATAATTGTAATAAAGTAGTTTAAAGGTTTTAATTTCTTTGATTTATTTGTTTTTGATTTATTTTTATTAAATTTTAATTTTAATAGTGTTGTAGTGATTTGAAAGATGCTTTCTAAATGAATTTTCTTTTTAATTTTTAGCAATTGTTATTTAATCCAAGTAAACCATTTTGCCGTAATCAGAATACAGTTAATCAAGATATTGATTTGATGATTGATTGTTTTGTGTCTTGTTTTCGTATTAATCCACATAACAATGAAGCATTGAAAGTATGTCTGAATCCTTCTTCACCACCAACATATCATTTTGTATTAGTAAGTTCTCTATATCGCATCATAACCCAACCTCGTCTAGTATGGTGGCCACAAATTGATATTATGTATAACAAAGCTCCTGAATTGCGTTCCATGTTTACTGAAACATTAAATAAAGTTACTCAAGTTTTCAATAGTCATGCTCCCTTAAGAATGATGCAGGTAAGTGTCTCTTTGGTTATATTTTTACTAATTACTAAATTTTACTAAAATTATAAAAATGTAAAATGAGTTTATACTAAATATTATGTTAAATATTTTATAAAAAAATAAAATACAATAAAAACAAACAGCCATAAACTATATTACAAATCTTTTTATTTAAGATGATTTTAAAGACCACAATTGTTAATTTAATGTCTATTTTAACATGACCATATATTGTAGTTTGTTTCATAAATTATCTCAAATATGTATTGGCTTAAAATTATATATTTGATTAACTTTTTCTAATTGTTACCTGTTTCTTATAATTAATTTTATTTTTGGTTCTGTTTTATTTTTATAAAAAATTAATATAAACTGTTTTATTAACTGCATAAATAAATGATTTTGGCACATTTTATTAATACTGTAGATCAGGAATTCCCAACAGGGTTCATATAGATTCCTAGGGGTCAACAGAATTATGAAAGGGGTTGATGGAATTCAAAAGGACAGTTGGGATAGGTGGAAAATCAGATACTTATTGTACATTTTTGAGAATTTTAGATAATTCATTCAATAGGAAATTCAATAGCTGATTTAATAATTTACTTGATGATGTGAAAATTTTGGGAAATAACATAACAAAAATGTTAAGTGGGTCAATTGAAAAGAATATTTTTTGTATGGGGTCAATGCAAGAAAAAGGTTGGGAATTCCTGCTGTATATTAAAGTGAAAACAGTCATTTTTTTACAAAAAGTTGTTTAGGAATAAAATCATATTTATACAATATTATTAAAGTAATGAAGAACTGAAATATTTTTATTGAAATATACATAAAATTAAAATCAACTTGAATATCACTAGAGATAAGAATGAAAGATAATTACAGTGGGTGATCGGTTAATGAACAGTTTGGTTAACAAACAAATCAGATAATGAACACTTTCGCAAAAGATTTTTATGTTCGGACAATGAATACCTCACAGAACAAACACAAGAAGTAGTGATATAAAATAACTGGTCTTCCCTTGTCTTCTGGCAACAATTCAAAACTTTCGGAGCGCAGGAGATGTTGACATTGACTCTCAACTCGGTATATACTGATCGTATAGTATTCCTCCAAACTTTGAAACTCTCCCTTGTAGTTCCAGCCTTTTATTTTTCTGACAGAAACAATTCTTTTATTGTATTCACGAGACTGTTGGGTAGACACTCATTAAGTTTTGTATCAGTTTTTATTTTCAAAAGGTGAGAGTATAATAGCAGAGGTATTTGATGTTACTGGGCAGTATGGTTTGAACAGATCTACAGTAGGCTACAGTTCAATCTTATCTAAGAAAGCTACTGTATTATCAAGAATACTCAAGTAGCTAAAGGAGTAACAAAAATCACATGTGAGAAATAAAGAACATTGAAGAGCTCATAATGGAACCTGAAACTGATCTGACGACAGAAGAATGCCAAAAACTCTTGAATGAAGAACACCAAAAAACTTGGCAAGATATGTTTTTTTCTGAAAAAGAGAATTAATGTCAATATCTGCTATTAAACATTTTTTTGAAGATTTTTTTAAAAATAATAATCGTCGCTACTGTATCATTAAAAATTATTTTAAAATTATTTTATTGCTCACAAAACAAACAACCACTCAGAATTAGAAAATTAAGTCTCATTTAAATACTGCCTCCTTTTCATGGTCAAGCCAGTGTTGCCAGCTAAAACACGCAAAAATTTAACAAAAATAATATTAAAGTAGCCAAGACATAGCCAAATATTGTAGTACTGCATCACTAGCGGACATTTGAAATTTGCTGACTAGAACGGTCAGTTAACCAATGTGACGGTTAAGTGGGGGTCAGATAATCAATGCTCTACTGTATATATTTTTTATTTTTTGGGGGCTCCAGAANCGGGGATACGGAGTAAGTAAGACTCTAGTATCACTTAATCAGCGACTATTCTCTAGAATAGCCCTCTGTTTGTCTAGAAGAATGGCTTTTCTATCCCAAGAAATCGAGTGTGGAGGAACTTACAGTTTGAATGTTAAAAGAAGGATCTAGGGGATGAATCCTAGATCTAGATCTAGTCAGGATTCCTTGACACCAGTTAATCAGATTTATTGTTCGCGGATTAACACACGTAATGAGTTGTGAAGGAGATGGTGAAATATGTTTCATTCAGATGACATAAGAGACATTTCTTTAACAATAAGAACAAAAATTTAATGAACGAGAACAAGATTATACAAAATTGAATCCTCGAATAAGACTATTAATTTTGAGAGAGAGAGCTCACAGTTTTGGTCAAAAACATACTACCTCAAATCATGTGTCTTTCTGTCTTCTTCTTGAGATCTGTATCTGGATGAATGTTCTTTCTTATGTTCTGTAGCAGCACATAAATAAACCTTTTTCTTCACTATATTTACTGACTTAATAATTCCTTTAGGAGACTTCGGGAATCGGTTATGGGCGTTGGCCGGAGGGAGATGATGTGGAATACGTCTGTCCTCCTTGGGATCTTCTGGTGTACTCCTTGAATAATTCAAAATTCTTTCTGTTTCTGACGAATTTTCACCAATCAGCATCTTGTAATTTTCCACGTGAACAGGAAAAAGCGGATTTTACTTAGGGGTTGACAATTCCCAGGGTGACTAAAATTTTAGGAGATAAGGGAAAACCAAAAAGGATGTTCAACTTCCGTTGAAGGAAGTGACTTTTACCAGTTTCCTTCATTTTAGAAAATATAATTTTCCCACCAAAATCATAGAATATTTTCATCTAAAATTTTACCATTTCGATTAAAATTTTAATTAATTACAGGTGGTTTGCATCTCACATTAGCATTGTAATTGTAGAGTTTCCTAAGCCTATTAACCTCAACCTAGTTTGGATGCCATTCTAACACTGTCGTTCTGATATCATCCCACTTCTTCAAAAAATGTTTAATAGCAGATATTGACATTAATTCTCTTTTTCAGAAAAAAACAAATCTCGCCAAGTTTTTTGGTGTTCTTCATTCAAGAGTTTTTGGCATTCTTCTGTCGTCAGATCAGTTTCCATTATGAGCTCTTCAATGTTCTTTATTTCTCACATGTGATTTTTGTTACTCCTTTAGCTACTTGAGTATTCTTGATAATACAGTAGCTTTCTTAGATAAGATTGAACTGTAGCCTACTGTAGATCTGTTCAAACCATACTGCCCAGTAACATCAAATACCTCTGCTATTATACTCTCACCTTTTGAAAATAAAAACTGATACAAAACTTAATGAGTGTCTACCCAACAGTCTCGTGAATACAATAAAAGAATTGTTTCTGTCAGAAAAATAAAAGGCTGGAACTACAAGGGAGTTTCAAAGTTCGGAGGAATATTTTTTCATGCTTCTCACAATTGGTATGCCTCTTAAATACTTTAATTTCATTGTATTTAACACTAAATAAGAATCAGCAAATGATGCAATGAGGTGAACAAATATCATCATCAAGAGTTAACCAAGTTTTGAATTCATTTACTTGGGCCAGATTTTTGTAAATTACAATTGCATGATCTTTTTTTGAGGAAAAGAAGAATCAAATAAATACAGTGGTACCTCGGTATACGTCTGCTTTAGAATACGTCAAATTCAGAATACGTTTTGTTTGGACGAAACAAATTTTGCTTGGTATATGATTTTCATTCGGTATACAACTTAATTCAATTATATTGTAAAGTACTATATTTAGTTTATCAACAGTGAAGCTTACTGTAATAGAAAGTTTGATTCCTTTTTTTAAAATAATAGGTTCATGATGAAATATGTTTCATTCAGATGACATAAGAGACATTTCTTTAACAATAAGAACAAAAATTTAATGAACGAGAACAAGATTATACAAAATTGAATCCTCGAATAAGACTATTAATTTTGAGAGAGAGAGCTCACAGTTTTGGTCAAAAACATACTACCTCAAATCATGTGTCTTTCTGTCTTCTTCTTGAGATCTGTATCTGGATGAATGTTCTTTCTTATGTTCTGTAGCAGCACATAAATAAACCTTTTTCTTCACTATATTTACTGACTTAATAATTCCTTTAGGAGACTTCGGGAATCGGTTATGGGCGTTGGCCGGAGGGAGATGATGTGGAATACGTCTGTCCTCCTTGGGATCTTCTGGTGTACTCCTTGAATAATTCAAAATTCTTTCTGTTTCTGACGAATTTTCACCAATCAGCATCTTGTAATTTTCCACGTGAACAGGAAAAAGCGGATTTTACTTAGGGGTTGACAATTCCCAGGGTGACTAAAATTTTAGGAGATAAGGGAAAACCAAAAAGGATGTTCAACTTCCGTTGAAGGAAGTGACTTTTACCAGTTTCCTTCATTTTAGAAAATATAATTTTCCCACCAAAATCATAGAATATTTTCATCTAAAATTTTACCATTTCGATTAAAATTTTAATTAATTACAGGTGGTTTGCATCTCACATTAGCATTGTAATTGTAGAGTTTCCTAAGCCTATTAACCTCAACCTAGTTTGGATGCCATTCTAACACTGTCGTTCTGATATCATCCCACTTCTTCAAAAAATGTTTAATAGCAGATATTGACATTAATTCTCTTTTTCAGAAAAAAACAAATCTCGCCAAGTTTTTTGGTGTTCTTCATTCAAGAGTTTTTGGCATTCTTCTGTCGTCAGATCAGTTTCCATTATGAGCTCTTCAATGTTCTTTATTTCTCACATGTGATTTTTGTTACTCCTTTAGCTACTTGAGTATTCTTGATAATACAGTAGCTTTCTTAGATAAGATTGAACTGTAGCCTACTGTAGATCTGTTCAAACCATACTGCCCAGNTTCTTCTGATTTTAATTTGTAAGTAAAATTTTATTATTTTTATTAATCATGAATTGCAAAAAGGCAAATGAAAAGCAACAGAAAATTAAAAAAATGACTAGAATCACAATGGAACTGAAAAAAGAGATTTTGAGAAAAATGAAGGTGGCATGAGTGTTCGAGATTTTAACTGTTGC